TGGTGGTGTCAGATTATATGCAGTTGTCAGTTACTGTCGGTGCAGGGCAGAGGTCGCGGCGGCGATGAGCTCCGCCGTGGGAACGAGGTCAGGCGGGCGCGCCGTCTCGCGCCGCTGCCCGCGCTGTGCGTGCGCACCATACAACCCCCTCCCCATTACCTCTGGCACTGAGATCTCATCTCCGAGACTACATAGATCATGTTTTTTAAACTCAACGTTAATGTCAGTTATTGGAATACTAGTGGTCTGACTGGATTCAGTCAACTGATGTTTACTTAGGGCATCACTTAATGTAGATATTTAGTATCTACTAAACTGAAACTTTTACTGTTTATTTTACACTTTTATTTTCAAATTAAGTCACAAAACAAACATATTAACAAACGCGCGGTAAAAGTGTTTTTATGAAGTAGTAATAGTAAAAATTTGTTGACCAATTATTAAGTAAAGGAGCCCCCATTCCGAGGGCAAAAGGTCATATCCATTAATATATCATGAATGAGGTCATCTCCCCGAATACCATCGTATAATAAGGTATAGGCAGTTACTATCAATTGAACGTCATAAGTTACTGACCATTATCCTTATTTAAGAATTTATTTATGTGAAAATAAATACTGGGAAAACATAATTCATATAAGTAATTGATAACTAGACGTGTATCTTGCATTTATAAAAACAATCAAGATCACCTAAAGAACAACGGTTCTAAAGATAAATTGAAAGTAGAAGCAAAACGTAATTTAATAACTTTTTTTTTATTTTTTTTCAATCACGAATGTAACAGGATGCTATCACATCGATATCATATCTGGAGGTTTAGTACGCGTGACGTGAACACTCGTACACTCGTAGTAACGCCGCGCCGATATCTCGCTCTATCGGTCAATGATAATCGTCTCGCCATCTGATATGACATTGTAATGGAAATTAGCGACCATTGAAAACATATATTCATAGACTCCTGTGTTTATTTCACTGAGTAGAGGGGGTTGATGACGTCACAAGTCTACATCAATACATTATAACGAAAAACATCGATAATACTACCAGAAAATAACATGAAATTAAGGACTGTGAATTAACTGTGAAAATTGACTGTGAGAGGGGGAGGGGGAGAGAGAGAGAGAGAGAGAGGAGAGAGAG